TTTAAAAGCTCTGTTTGTGGGCAGCCAGGAAAAGTACATGCCAAGCCAGACGTTGCTAACTCAGAAGTCTTCAGGTGTCAAGAAAGTTCTCTAAATGGGCCAAGCCAGCCTGGGTGTGTAGAGGTGAGATCTCGCCCACTGTTGAAAGGGGATTGCCCTGGCAAAACACAGGTCCAGAGACATATCATATTATTTCTCAAGAAGAACCGGAAATTGCAATTTTTATGTGAAATTTCCTGACTTTTAGATGTTGGTAAACAATCCACATTTTTCCAAACATTGATGCAGGCCAAACAATACACATCTGTGGATTAAATGGAGCCAGCAAGCTACCCGTTTACAAGGTCAGCCGTAGCACAAGTGGGGGAGGCATTGCTGATGGGGGAATTGAATCCCAGAAAGCTCTGTACACCCAACCCTCCTCACAGCCCTTTGTTATAAGCAGTTGACAAATGAGGAAATTGTGGAAAAGAGAAACTAAGTAACTTGTCCAATATCACACAGCTACAAACAGTGGAGTGAGGATTTGAACTCCTATCTGATTTAGACACTTGTGTTAGTCTGCTTAAAACAAATACCATAAGCTGGGTGACTTAAACAACAGAAATGTATTTTTTGCTGTTCTGGAGGCTGACTAGTCCAAGATTCAGGTGTCTACCAATTCAGTTCCCTCCTCCTGGCTTGTAAGTAGCCACTGTCTCACTGTGTGTGCACATGACCTCTTCTTTGTGTATGTGAGGAGGGAGAGAGAGCAAGCCCTCTGGTGTCCCTTCTTGTAATAAGGACACTAATCCCATCACAAGGGCCCTCCCTCATGACCTAATTATCTCCCAAAGCACCCATCTCCAAATACTGTCACGTTGGGGGTTATGGCTTTGCCATATGGTGCTGCTCTTTGCACTATACTGTAGTGTCAGAGAGAGAGGTTTTACATCGGGGGAAGGGTTAAGCTGATGTTTCCTGACCTTTCTTTCTGCCGTCATTCCTTTCACAAGCCTCTGCGAGCCCATCCCTTACCACATACTGTGATTCTGAACACCCCGTGTAGGAGCATGGCACTCTCCCATCCTCCCTTTCCAGTGCTGGGGTTCAGGGTGCCAGAGGTGTTCCTCTCTGTTTTGAGTGCTTTTTCGGGCTGGTGGGAGATACATGTGGTTGGGGTTTGAAACTATTTGCTCCGATGTGAATTGAGCCCAGAATAAGCCAAAGCTTTAAAAAGTCAGAGCTTTTACCACCCATGTTTCTATTCCTTCTGTCCTCTGGTCTATAGAGACTAATATAGTGGCTGGAGTGGAGATAGGCTTTCACATCACAGAGACTCAGAGTAAAACTGAGAACATGAAACGTGTCCCGAGTATGTTTGTGATCTGGATGTCTCAAGTTAAATGAAGTGGCCAACCTGTGTATGTTCCCACATCTGTAAGGGCCTATGTGGAAATCAACACAGCTGCCCTTCTTTCAGTATCTAAAACACCGAAACAGATATGCCGCTCTGGATACATTTGAATAGACACTCGGGTTTTGATTTTCCTTTTGGAAGACCTCTTTTCAGAACAGATGCATAAACTCAACAGGGTTGAGGCATAACCTGTGGGGAGGGTGGGGGGGACAGGATGGAAGGAGTGGGAAAGAAGATGCAGAAGGAGAGAAGGCTGCATTATTATCAAGCAATTGATAATTCAATTGAAAATTCAATTGATTGTGAGTCCTATGTGTGAGAAGATCTGTGCTAGGTTCAATAGAACTTATTACCTTAAGAGAGCAGCTTCTGGATTCAGAGAGACTGGGGATCAAGACTGGGCTAGCTGTGTGACCTTGGGCAAGTTACCTCATTTTTCTAAGTCTTTTTTTTTCTTTTATAAAATGAGGATAATAATAATAGCAGCAGGCTCTTGGTGGTTGGGAGGATTGAGATAATGCTAAAAAAGCATCCTTAGTATAGGATTCGGTACAAAATAAATACTTAGCAAATATTAGCTATTGTGATTCTTATGGTTATGAACATTCAGGAATAATGAAGTGATAAATGATGGTTGAGCACCACACATGAGAGCACAGGGCACGAGATGAATCACCCCACAAACTGTGCTAATTAGAGGTTCCGCAGCAGTTGGATGAGGTGAGCGCACTTTGAACCAGAGAGTCTGGGACAGGCTTCTCAAAGAGTGTACTTGGAACTGAAGTCTGGGCGAGGCTGAGTTCTTACAAGGAGGCCAGCTGTTTCTCCTTTCGGATGAGGTGAGCGCACTTTGAACCAGAGAGTCTGGGACAGGCTTCTCAAAGAGTGCACTTGGAACTGAAGTCTGGGCGAGGCTGAGTTCTTACAAGGAGGCCAGCTGTTTCTCCTTTCCACAGAGAAAAGAACAAGAGGAAATGACTGTCTCTGTTCTCCATCCTACTCAAGCCAAATGGTAATGAACTCTATGATGGATTATGCCAGTTCAGTATCAAAGCCTAACTCAGCTTCCCTGGGTCACCCATCCCAGCCACCCCTGGCCATCTTTCTAACTGCGTAGTTAGTTTGTACCTGGGAAATATGAACTTATTGGTGTGTTATTAGTCGACGCAAAGGATGACTAATAATACAGAATCAAGGAAGGTAGATATTTTGTGTAACTGGGTCCCTTAATGCAGTCACTACAAATAATTGGCCCTTTCTTTTCATGTCATGTCATTGAAAATGAACTTTGACCTTGAGATAGCTATGAAGAAGACCTTTGGACTGAGATTGGTCAAGTTCTAAAACACAGTATTGGATCTAGAGACAAGTGTCTCTAGACAAGTTACCTATTTTTCTAAGCCTTTAAGAATAAATCCATCAGAAATGTCACA